GGCTGAATTTGGATCACACCTTATTTAAGGTGGGGAGAAAGCTCGTTGTGTTCTGAAACGAGAGGCAAACTTAAGCAGGGTAGTCAGAGATGGATAGCTAGCTCAGTGGGGAGAAGGTGGGCTCTGGAATAAAGCTTCACATGTGGAGAGCTGACCTGTTTCTTTCAGTGTCCTATTGCTTAACCAGTTGTTGTGGTCAGAACTTAAAGAAATTTCCCCTCTACTACACAGTTTTTCCTAAAATATGACTATCTTTGTTATGGAAACCAGGGTATGACTGTCATTAACTCTAGGTACTCTGTAAAATTTGTTGGTTTGGAAAAAAAGCTGATTTTTGAATGAAGATGTAAGCCAGTGCCATTATCAAAGTGTTGTAATGAACAATCACAGCACTGAACTCCAAGGTCTGGATGAAATAATACAGATATTTCAGCTTCCAGACTGATTTTTTTTTTATCTTGATTTTTTTGAGCTACCTTACGTTAACTGCTGTAAGATCCTTTTTTCCTCTCTCCCACTGGTTCTGTGGCATCAAACCAAAAAGCATGTCTCATCTTTAAACAGGCAGTTGTGAAGACAGTACCTGAAAAGGGTTGGGGACGTTGGTCAGCAATAGAGTATTGGTTCCGATTATTGTATTGAGTAGCTTTTAATTTATTTAATTATTTTAAAAAATTCTGTAATCCATGGTCCTCTTGCAGTGGAGTCACTGCTAAAATGGACTATGTGATCAGAGGGAGAAAGCCACTAACAGAAGAGGGAAGAACATGGCTTTTGATAGCTCTCTGGTGCTTAATGTAATGTGAAGCATGAGTCAAACTGTTGGAGAAATTCTAGTAATTTAATGTCTCTGCCTATGAATCTTAGGTTGGTAAGATTGGTGTTGGTGCTGTATTGAGACTTCGGTGCAGTTACATAAGCATCTAGTTCTAGTATTTCTCCATATTTTTTGTGAACTGACATAAAGCTAACTTAAAGTGTTTGAACTCCCACGCTTGAAAAGAAGAACCTTTGGAAAGAACATCTTCTCTGGTCTTTTTCAAATAAAAAAGTTTTGATCTAAACCAGACATTAAATATTTATAAAATGGATGATTTATAACTGATGGTGTTAGAGCCCTTCAGGCTTAAGCAGGTAAGAGTAGCCATGGTTTGTTATAAAACTTTTGAACATTTGGTCTTTAGTGTTCTAAATGTGGTTACTAGTTTCACAGCCTCTAGAGGAGTGCAATCTGGAAACAGATGAGGAGGGGGAATAATCAAAACTTGTTGTTTGCCCTGTACGAGCAGAGTTACTCTTGTAAAATCTGACTTATCCCATCCTGGGTGTGTCTCTTTGAATAAAATACTTTAAAACTGAACCCCCCAAATCACTTCTTTGATACTGTAGTAGCTGAGTAACTGTAATTATGTGTTTTGACTTGGGCTCACGTAACACCTTTGCACTTGAACTCTTGCTCACAAAGGTGTTTCTCTCACTTGCTGTGTCTGATCAGGTGTATGTGAATTACCACTGTCAGAAAAAAGTTACCTTTGTGTGAGCTGACATTTGGTAACAAAAACATTTATGTTTCTCTTCTTTTCTTTTATTACTTAATATTTTTTGTTACCTCTGCAGTTCTGCAAGTCACAGGACTGAAATGATTACACACTGAAATGTGTGTATATTATCTTAGCTGGTTACAGAACAGGGTTGTCTTTAGTGTTCAGAACTACTGTGACAAGTATGGTACTCTGTGAGTGGATTGTGAGAGTGTGTTGTTCAACACTTCAAAGACCCAATCATGTATGGAAATCCAGAGGTTTTAATTCTTAAACAGATGAAATTTGGAATAGGTCACTCATCTTCTTGAATAATTTCTCACCTGTTTCAACAGACACAGATCTAGGGTTTTCTATAGCTTCTGTTCATATAATAGAACTCTTAATGTTTATTACCTTCTCATGGGACAACTAATTTTTAACTCTTGGGTGTGTTTTGTTTGTTTTGTTGAGCAGCTGGTTTTATTTCCTTGTTTAATTGAGAACAATTAGTCATAAGGGTGTGATTATTTCATGGAGTGTTGCTTCAGGATTTTAAGTGGTAGCCCATTGTAGTTAAAGGGTCAGTGCTGGTGGGAATTTGAGTGTTATTTCTGTATTATCAAGTTGATGTGTAGCTCTGTCCTTTTACCAATATAAACCAAGCTGATCATATTATGTAGTTAGACTCACAGAATAATGGAAGGGCAAGGGGAGAGCTAGTATTGCATTGCTGTTGTATCATCTTTTCTGTTTAGCTTATTCTGATTTAGGCTTTTTAAAGGTAGCTGGGGATGAGGGAGCGATCTTGTAGTAGCTTAGTTAACGCTGCTATGAAAATGCCTAAAGTAAACTAATTATTCCAGTGGTATAAACCCAGTAGAATTATTTTATGCCAGATGTTTTTGTAGTGGTAATGTGTATAAGGAGAAAAAGAACTGTTTTCTTTGTTCTCTTAAAATGAAGAGATTGAAATTGAGGTTTTGGTGTTATTCACACTAAAAATTAACATCTTTTCTTAGGAGATGTCTGTAATGAAACCCATGCTGATGAAATTAGTTCAGCAAAAAACAGTGTTCAGAGAAGAAAGGCATATTTAGTCTGCTTAAAACTTCCTCTTCATTTGTCTTTCAAGTTTTTCTGTCACTTTTGAATGACTTAAATTGTTCATTGAGTTAAATTAATGTTAAGCACGTTAAGTTTCTATTCCTTAAATGCCAAATGTGTTATGTGCTATTTAAAAGGAAATAAATCCTTGTTAATGGGTTTACTTAATACTTAAAAAAAGTCTGTGAAAATTAAGTATGTTAAATTATGCAAAAATCAGCCTATATTTTAAATATTTCAATACCACATTACTTTCTGTATAATATTAAGTAGTAAATATAAAGCTAGTGATCCTTGCTAATTAAGAAAATACTGTATATTTTCAATTAATTTATTTTTCTTTGGTTTTACTCTTTACCGGTGACAACATAAATAGTTAGTAAAAACCCACCTTTATGTAGTATGATAAATCTCAAATAATTTATCTTTCTGGTTTTGGATGAAGGTCAAGTGGTATTTGAGTTACTAACATTTCAACAGAGGGCACTCACGTGCTTTGAGGTAACACCAAATCACTATTTTTAAAAACACTTGGAATAAACTGGAGCTGAAGATGACAAATTTTGTGAGTTAAAATGTATAAATATAATTTGATAGTGCTTGGGAAAATTGGTCATTGTTGTATTAACATTTTCATTTCAAGTTCCTTCTAATTTTGTCAATTTGCTTTGTTTCTTTAGATATTTTACAGTACGTTGAGGTAGTGCATTAATTTTGCCTTAAACTGATCCTAATAGATGCATTACAATGGTTTTCTAGCTGAGTTGCTATTAGTCTGTTAATACTGAACAGTTGTAAGAATGAATCAAAATTTAATAAATACATTGTTTCCAGCTAAAAAGGCAGTTGAAGAATCAGAAGAAAAGAAAATAGTTCAGTCAAAGAAAAGAATTAAAGAATTAAGAATTTTGGATGGAAAAACCGCACAAAATTTATGTAAGTGTGAAATGCATTAGGTGACTATCTAATTGGTATGTACACACACATGAGTATTCTTAAATGTGTTTTTTGTTTACATGTGCAATATTCTTTCTCTAAAAATTGGTTAATGTGGTCATGAGTCAAGTTCAGAAGTGTTTTACATACTTATGATTTGAATTCGCTATATAACTTGGGGAAACAAAGTAGCATGGAAAAACGGTGTGGACTTAAATATTAATGAACTATATTTTTTTGGTAACAAAAAGTTGATTCTTTTATTAATTGCTTTAGATTGGAGGTATAGCTAAATGATAATCACTAGTTAGGCACAGGGTTTTTGTGCAGGTTTTGTGGATTGGGGTTGAGAGGCCAATAATGGTTCTTTCTGGTTAGAGTAATGGAGAAATAGAGCTTGATGGGGGCTAGACTTTTAAAGAGAAAAATATTATGAAATAGGATAAGTTAGGAGGAAATACTACTACAGTAAATTGTAAGGAAAGCAGCCCCACCTCTTTTTTTAACTTGCTGCTTCTCTCTAATTATGGAGGCAAATCAGTCATTAAGAGTAGTAGATTCTTTTATTTGAATTAGAAATACCATAAAATGTCACTAGTCCAACTATGCCCATGGCAAAATAAGTGTGTAAAACCAAATTTGTGCATTGTTTCTTACCACATCCATGGACACATTTTCTTAAGCAGAAAATGAACTGAAAAGTGATATAAAACGTCAAGTTTTGAAAATACAAATGCAGGAAAGTCAGCCACAGTAGTTAGGTTGAATATACATCACTTTATCAAAATGGTATGGTAATCCATCTGTGTTAGGAATACTTTGTAGTTTATTGAACGGGGCTCTTGAGATGTTGTAACAGATAACATCCTGAGATCAAATCACTTGGAGTACCTAATTTTTGAAGGATATACAATATACATTGTGTCTCGTATAAGTTTACTTAATCTAAAAAGTGGTAGAGTTAGGGTATTTTTTTTCTTTGACCAGCTGTTCATTATACTTTTGACATGGAATTTTTTCTAGAATGTCATGTAAATACCACTCAGCCAGTTGTGAATACTGTACAGCTATTCATACATGGTTATGAAAGCAAAAAATGATGAAGTCTTCTAGTGACTGAATAAGTCTGTTTAAGTAGTAATGCAGATGTTGCTATTCATAAAAATAGGACGTTATTGCTAGAGACAAGTAGCACTGCTAGGGAGCAACTGAGGCTGATTAAACAGTTAAAAGTGTTGTCATAATTTCTTAGAAATGAAATTAATTATAAGTTGAACCGCAATAGTGGGCCTCATTTAGTGTTTGTTTTATGTAGAAAACTTCCTAATTGTGAATCACCTTAATTTGGATCAAGACATGATTTTTCAGTTGCGAAAAATTAAGTTTGCCTTGTTATATAAATATTTTTGATTCTAATTGTTTATTACTGAATTTCAGCAATATTTTTGGGCTCTTTCCGTTTGCCTTATGAAGAAATAAAAAATATAATTTTAGAGGTTGATGAAGAGAAGCTAAGTGAATCCTTGATTCAGGTATGTAAAAATATCTCTGGCTTGTTCATAGCTTGTTTTCCATGTAAAAATGCTGTAAAGGGATAAGAATTCAAGAGTAAGAATAGTGTAGTTTCCTGAATATGAGCTATAAGTTTATCACTTGTGTTTACTGTTTTGTTTATTTCACTTCTACTTTTGAATACGGTCACATGTAGCAGTAAAACTGTCTTTAAAAAACAATGTTAATGAAAGTACTTTTGAACCTCTCACTTTATGAAGTTTCTCTTCCAAAAGGTAATCTCTGATAGTTTGTTTTTCAGTTTCAAATACAAGCATTTCCCAGATTTAGGCTGGTGGATAATGAAGTTTCATCAGGCTTTTTGTGGAAACAACTCTGTTTGTCACTAGTGATAGATGAAACTACCTGAATGTTTGGTAAAACATTGTAAACCCAATGTAAACCCAAAAACCACTTGTAAATCAAACCTGCTTTCAAGCTGGTTTGGTCTTATTTTGAGCCCAAGATCTTTCAGCTGGGAAGAAGAAAGTGAAATACAGCTTCTTTACATCCCTCTGATTTCCTCACAGTAGGAGGAGAGCAAGTGTGTACACTGCCCCATATGATCTCTGGGGAGTTAGAGTGCAAAAGTGAAACATGTAAACCTAAAATGGTATACAGATGTAGCACACCAATGATACTGGTGTTGAATTAGTTTATTTTAGTACTGTACACAGATTCAGATTGTAGCTGACATACTGGACCTCAGTTTATCCTTTCGTTCTTCCCTGTCTCCTGCTTGCACTCCTGTCCCATTCCCTCCAAGGCTTTCAAAATTTATCTCTTCTTCCTTTCTTGGACCTGGAAAACGCTTATTCTAGTGACACTGGGCTAAACTGAGTTGCCTGGTCTTTTCACAGTTAGTTATGCAATTTATAATGTCTTCAAATTTTTACATGAATGAATTTTTTAGTAAAACAACTGTGTTGCAAAACATACAATGTAAATGGAATTAAATTAATTTCATCCCAGCCAGACCCAGTACACTATAAAAAAGGCAAATGTGCTTGCAAGGTGTATCAGGTCAAGTATTTCCAGTAGAGAGGGTAATTATTATGCTTTTGAATAATGCACTTTGAAGACCTTATCTAAAATACTCAGTACATTTCTCAAAAATTAATTTAAAATGGAGAAGCCGAACTTAAAAACTACTTAGGATGATTGAGGGATGGAGAAACAGTCTACAGAAGGAAGCTAGAAAAGATTGACTTGATTAGATGAGCAATATAAATAGCTGAGAGGGGATATGACTACATTATAACTATGTGGGGAGAAGAGTGATGTGTGGAAGCATTGGGGAGAAAAATGAAGTTGCATAAGTAAAAGGCAGAATAAATGTACGTGAATTCATCGTGAATGCAACTATCTAGAAACTGAGCTGCCTGTAATCTTCAAAAAAATCGAGGCTTTGGAGATTGGCCCATTTCTGAAGGGAATGGTATGACAAGAGTTGCTTGTCATACCAGCAGGGAGGTTTAGCTGATAACCCGGAAGAGATACCTTCTGTTTCTAAAGATATTCTTACAAATGTACTGGGATAAATGGGCTGTATCATCTATTTCATGTTCAGTCTATTCTGGTTTATTTTTATTCTAATCTTCCAACTGAGTTATTAACTAATTTACCAGTTTAACAGTTTTCAATACTACTGATTAGAAAAATTTTACAAAGCAAACCCTGTTTTATTTCACGCTTAGCAAAACTTGTACGTGTAGAAACTGCTTTGTTCTAAGTATCAAAGTGGTGAAAGCTAAATGCATATAGCATAATTGAGCATATAGAAAAATGCTATTTCAGTTATGTTTCTCAAGTCCTTGTTTCTTGCTGCTTTTCAAACTTATGTTGTAATACTTATTAAAATTAATTGGATTAATCAGTTTGAGTGCATAGTAAACTATATACTGTTGTAACTCTTCCTTGAGGAAAACACTCTAGGAAAAAATCCTCTCAATTCCCAGTGTGCCTTGGAGAGAGTAAGTTCTTGTAAACATACAATTGTCAAACACCACGTTGAGCAGAATTCAGGGCATAGTGACAGCGAGTAGCGAGTGATAGTTTCAGCCTGTTAATGTCAGCCTTAGATTTCTACTTCTTTTTATGTTTATATAAACCACTTCTACCCTATTTTTATTTAAACCCACATCATAATGAATACATTATGAAACTTTGTTTCCTAGAGTACTAGGATTTGAGTATGTGGTAACTGAATGCTTTAGCTTCATTTTCAGTTATTCAATACAATTAATGAAAGTAAACATATTTAAACATATTTAAACATATATGTAGGGAGCTCCAGTGCTAGTAGAGCCAAACGTTTCTTCTTAGAAACTGCAGGTAAAATGAGTTGATCTGTTAGCTCCAGATCATAAAGGGATGTGGATGAGGAAAAAGAAATGATCAAGCATGCTAACAGATTTTGGTTATGTAGCTAAAAAAAAAAAAGGCGGTTTTGGTAGTACGAACTTGTATTTCTGCATTGATGGCAAAAATATTGTTTTACAGTAACTTTATTAATGTGCAACGAAATACACATTTCTGACAAATACTGTGAAATTTTTGATGACAGCATTTGGCAAATAGTCCACCTAATGAAAATAGGTTAAAAAAATTATGTTATTTAATTAGTTCATGTCTTTGATCTTTACCAGCACTAAGCAGTCAATCAAATGAGCAAGAATGTTTTACAGCTCCTTAATTTTTTTTGAAGTAGAAATTTGTAGGACATTAATTTGGGTTAATAAGAAAGGAAGCATGCTTAGATTTAAGTGTGAGACTATAGCTTAGTTTTATGATATTGGGGTGAATCTGATGCTTATCTCTGTCCAGTACGTTGAACTCTGCTTGCTGAGATATTCAGTAGCTCCTTGGTGTAAGTGTAAAAAATCTTTCTGTAACAGGGATGTTTTGTATGAGACTGCTTGTCATCTTTGGTTTTCCTTATTAAGATGGGTGAATGCTTGATTCTTTTAGCTTGGAGAATTAAGTTAGCTATCACTTGCAAATTTGACTAATTAGGCTGATGCCTTTCCAAAAGTTGTACCTTAATGCCTACTTCATCAAGTCTGGCAGAGTGATCAGTAATCAAATTCTCCTAACAAATAAGAATATTGCAAGAGTGATGGCAAGATTGCCGTGTTCTAAAAACAAGACATCTGTACCTCTAATTGTACAGGTTTTCTCTGATAAAGATTTTTATATCCGGAAAAAATATGCTTCCGTAGTGCTGGTTGCTTTTCTGATTTTAAAAGCAGGTAACTTTTTTTCATATCAGAGTCTTTTTGTGATGTAAACCTAAACAGTCATTATCAGTTCTCTGATAGTGTCAGTGTGCATGTCCTTTCTATTTTAATCATATCTTATGAGAATATCTGGCAATTCACCTTTACTGATGGGAGGGGAGGAGAACTTATGTGCTAATAATCTAACCAAGTTAAAGGCAAATGTTCTGAAAATGTTTACTTGTAGTGTTGCAGAAAGTATCAAAATATTTAATTTTTTTAGCTGTAACACATTATCTTCACTAAAATCTGTGTTGTAAAATCCTATAGAATTGCAATTCCATAGACACATTATTGGAGGTAAACATCTAAACCTGATGGTGGTTCTGCCATTTACTTATGCAAGTTTCAGAGGATGGCTTCATAAAGTAGGAGATTCTTATTGAAGAACATGGACTTACCCCTTTTCTCTTGAATACCTCACTTAGTGCCATGGTCTGGTTGACATGGTTTTGTTAGGACAAAGGTTGGACTTGATGGTCCCAGAGTTCTCTTCCAACCTAATCGATTCTGTGATTCAGGACCCTCTGTGTTTGTGTAGAAGAAAAAATTATTTCTGTGTGAAAGCGTTTTTTTTCTTAGTTGTTTGGTACAGGAATCATTGCACTATGGAGTTGGGTGAATCTCATGTTGATTTTTCAGAAGTTAGTGATAACAAAAGTGCACTACTTCTTTGGCCCCTATATGCATATTAAGTATCTATAAATTATCCAGCATACAGAAACAGGTTGTCTCCTTTTATTATATGGTTAGGCAATTACCCGGCAAAAATCCTCCTAAGGACCATAGTGGGAAAGCAGGAGGGATGCTGTGTTCACCTAGATCTGGAGGTATCTCTGCCTGTCTTCTATAAGTACATGTCTCCAACTCAGCCCCTTTGTTTTCTTCAGTGACTAGTGCTTGCCAATAACAAAATACCCTTTGAAATTCCACAGAATCACACTTACCTCTAAGCTACTACAGTGTTTCGGATCCCATATCCAGTATCCAAAATATTACATTATTTTTGTTTCTTAATTTTTCCTGTTATAAGCATTTAATATCAACAAAGGTGGTTAGTGGAGATTGGAAGTGAAGTAAAGGACATCTTTTGTGTGTGGACAGCCATAGTGTAATCATATCCACTCATATTTTAATACACTTTGGTTTTTTGATCTTAAGATTTATGGACCTTTTTGAAAAAAAAAGTCCTATTGACTCTTGCTTGCTGGAATGTAAATGTGTACTTTTTTCCTTGAAAAGAAAACAATAATATAATTCTTCAACTAATGTATATATCAAAACTTAAATACAATCTAAACTTTTACCAAGTATCTCTTTAAACAAAGTATTCTTCATTCCTAATATAAATATTTTATACATTTAGCATATCTGTATTTTGAGATGTTAAGATCATATAGTAAATCATAAAATTTTCTTTGGGGAATAGTTAAAATTTCAAACAAGTTCTACTTTTTGCTGAATTCCAGTATATTTACCATCCAGAATATCTGTACAATTTAGAGATGTTACTTTTTTGTGTAAGATGTTTTTAAGTGAAGTTGGTGCAGGGCTATTTTAAATGTCTAAAGATTTTTTTTTTGTGTAGTTATGTCTTGCTTTATACAGTCCAGTTAGTTCTTGATATTTAATGAGCAAGATGCAATCATGAGGGCAAAAAAAGATTGTAGATAGAGTGTAATTCTTCAGGGTCTGACAGCATCAAGGAGTTTTGTCTAACTTTTTAATACTGAGAATGCCTTCTTTAAATTAGAGACTGTAACAGAGATGATGATGTCTATATTAAATAATTACTCGTTTGATTTGATTTTATATAGTGTTAAAGCTGTGTAAATAAAATAAGCTTCACAGAATTTCCTCATATATTTCCGTGTTGTGGTATTTTAAATGTGTTGTTTTAAGATCTCAGCTAGTTTAATATAACAAACTTAATATAGTGCCTTGTTTGTTTTAGAATTTAGTGAAGAATCTTCCTGAGCAGAAAGAACTCAATGCCTTAGCCGAATTAAAGGATGAATATAATGATCTTGCTGAGCCAGAACAATTTGGAGTTGTGGTATGTATTAGCGCAATAAATAACTGGAGAGTGCTATATTGTCAAATAGATTAAAAAGAAAAATTTTAGGTTTAAATTATTTCAGTCAGTGTATTTGCAAGTCCTGCAGTAGGAAAAAGTTACCATCTGTTTATTGATGAGTAATAATCTGAATCTCTGTAAATACATATTAGGTGTTTTTCTGAAAGGAATTGTGGTATGCAGTGAAGAGCAACAGGCACTTCTGTGCCAGACCATGTCTTTTGTCTGACTGTCTTCTCTTGTATGTTTATTACAGCAGTTACGGAGAACACTCTTGGTTCAAGTGGTTAAATTTCCAAGAGTTCATAAGACTCATTCACTCAATTGCATTTTCAACTTTGACAAATTTATTCTGCTTTATCAAAAACTGTAAACATCTGAAAGAGTTAATATGCCCATAATATCTTGTGTAATATTTTACCCTTTGATTTAAAAAAGAAATAGATGTGTGTATGTATATATATTTTATGTGTACGTATGTATATACACATATATGTATGTATGCATATACATATAAAATGGAAATGTATATATACAAACACACACGAAGTTGAAAACTGCTGTAGAAGAGGTATGCGTTCATATTAGAACTGAAATTGTAGATCTTACTCTGTTGCTTTTACTAGTGTTCAATTCATATATCTATTCCAAAAGGCAGGGATATCGGGGATGACAATAGCTAGAACCTGTCTCTGAAAGAAATTATAAAATTTGCATAAGTTACCCTAGTACATGCTGGTAGTTGATTGTATGATACTGAGTACTAAGCGAGGACTGGGAAGACTCTTTTTCTGCTTCTGGTCTTCTAAAGACCAAAGTCCTTAGGCAAATTAGTTCTTGCTGTCACTTCACTTTGTCAGTCTAAAAGATTATCATGATGATGATAGCCTTTGTAATGTGTTCAGAATTTATCCCTAACTCTACAGGAGCTAGGTTTGCTCTTGCTGGATTTTTATGGTGCTATGTACATTAAAATTTATTAAAAGAGAACAGAAGTTTCTTAAAAGGAAAGTGTGAAACCAGCTTTTTACTAAAAAGCTCTGATTTGAACATAATTTGGCTTCAGAAATGTCTTTTGGGTGGGTAGGGGGTTTACAGGGTGTGGGAGAGGGTAATGGAACGTAATTTGACCTAATGAGATGTTTTTTGTAGAGGATTTAGAAAATGAAGTATTATCGATGACTTCTTTTGAAAAACTTTATGCTATTGATTTTATTTTTTTAGTAAATGGCATAAAGTTCCAAAAATATTTTATGTCAAAACAAAGATGAGGAATTTTTCTGGAAGTGTGATACATTGGTTAGTCTTAACTGCAAGGTCCGCAGTAGTAAAACATTACCATCTCTTTATTGATCAGTAACAATGTAAAAATCTCTATAAATATGTATTTGGTGCTTTTCTTGAAGGAATTATGACATGCAAGATATTTAAAAAAATAATTACAATAAAAGATACTAATATAACATCTTTTAGATATATATTAAAACATATCCATATATAGATACATATGGGTATATATTATATGCCTACATATGGATATATACAGGTGTATATTATATGCATATATTCTGTATTATATTTTGTATATATACATATATCTGTTTCTGTATATTAAAAAAATCTATTTAAAAGCAGTAGAGGAATACTTTGTTTCCTCTTGGTCATTTAACACACACTTTCAGAGTGACTAAGACAACGTGATGAAATGACAGTAGTACTTCCAGCCCTACAGCAAGATGGGCTTTTGATCCCTGGGAAGGAAGGAAGGCCAGAACAATTGCCCTGTCTGCTCACTGCTTCCTGCCTATTTTTGAAACAGCAATGAGGAAAGGATGCCAGGGAGTGGTTGATTTACCAAATGAATATTTCCTTATTTCCCTCCTGCATAAATAATGCCAAACAAAGTGGGAAATTACTTAGATTTTGTGCAAGGAGAATATCTGAAATGTGTCTAAGGAAAACACAGAATGGAGGCAAACAAGGTAGAGGCATAAGGACAAATGGAGACTCATGTATATGAATTCTATTCAGTTAACTATTTAAAATAAGCAACGAAATTCAGAAAATTGAGGATAATGATCTTGATTTAAAATATTCTATAGTCATTTCTCCATTTTACTGCTTTCTTAATGTTTCACCCCTATTCTTTGTAACTTGGATCCTTTCCCAACTCGATCCCTTGTTCTGCCATGCATTTCCCTTTTATAAACATTGTTACCTGCGTTGTCTCTTCTGCTTCAGCCTTTCTTCCCTATTTGGTCTTATTCCATTGCTCTCTATAGTTTTTATATAATTTTTTTATATATATTTCTGGATTAGTGTACTGTTTGTCTGCATCCTCCCATCGTCCTGCTCTATGGTGGGTAGTAGTAAATTACCCTTCTGCTGAGGAAAGCTGTGACAGTGGCACTGCATTCAATATTCAGCTGCCTCTGTGGTCAACATGTTTTCCTTTATATACAGGCAGAATTTCCTGAGTGCCGTCTTGTATTTTGCTTCTTGTCCTATCACCATGCACCTTCAAGAATTCTCTGGTTCCATCTTCTCTTAATGTCCCTTTAGGTAGAAAGAGATAACAAAGTCAAGAGCAACTATTCAGAAAAGAACAGGTCTTGTGGATTAGCCCTGGTAGGCAGCTAAGTACCACACAGATGCTTACTCACTTCCCCCTACCATTCCCAGTGGGATGGGGAAAGAAGAAAGGAAGAGTGAAAGTGAGAAGACTCATGGGCTGAGATAAAAATAGTTTAAGAAATGAAGGAGAAGTGGAGGAAGAAAGAGAGAAAACAAAGACTGAGAAGTAAAACAAAGGCAATCACCCACCGTCTCCCACGTGTAGACTGATGTAGAGCCAGTTCCTGAGCAGAAGATGGCTGATCTATCTAAGCCCTCCTGCTCCACCTTTTATTACTAAGCATGACATTATATGGCATGGGATATCTCTTTGGTTAGTTTGGGTCATTTGGCTGGTTGTGTGCCATCCCAGCCTCTTGCACACCCCCAGTCTGTTCACTGGGTTGTGCAGAGTGAGAAGTGGACAAGGTTTTGATACTGTGCAAATGCTGTTCAGCAGTAGCTAAAGCATTAGGGTGTTAACAGCATTGTTTTGGTCACAAGTCTAAAACACAACACTAGACAGGCTGCTATGAAGAACAATTCATTCCATCCTGGCCAGACCTAGTACAACAGGATTAGGCAAAGTTTATTCTGCTACTACCAAAACTTGTGTGCTTTACCTAGGCTTGCATAGAAGCATATTGTTTTTAAGAATTGGGCTAACTGTATCTGACCACTTATGCAGAGATGATATGCTGACTGTTTTTTTGTAGATAAAATTATTTTCCTTGTTTCAGCTCTGTGCAGAAGGTATTGTGAAAGAGATTCATTAATGTCTGCAACTTCATTAATTACTGAGTCTGAAATTTTGACCAGGTGTAGGACAGGCAGGAATAGGTTTTGCGTTTTGCACTAATTTGGTTGTAGTTGACAAATGGCCTTTTTATTTTGGGTATATGCTGATATGCTGCTGGAGATGAAAGACTGAAAATAAATTTAAGGTATAGTTATTATAGATATCAAAAGACTGATCCAAGACAGTGGAAATCTTTTCCATAATGTAAAGAAAACCTTCAAAAATATGTCTATTTCATTCTTTGCTGTGCATTTAGCTTCATCTTGGTTGGATAAGTGTGAATTTGGTAAGTGAAAGAATGTAACTGGTACTCTAGTTTAACTATTGAGTATAAATGACAGTGCAAAACCCAAATTTTCTGTTGTCAAAGGTAGAGTACTGAGATACTACAAAATTTAAGTATATAAGAACACTTGGAGAATGTTTTTGTTCTCTTATTGGAGGTAAATAATCTTCCAAATTCAGAAGACCACAGATTAGAAGGAATAGTTATTTTGCTTTGTCTTGATGTAGTGGTAAAACAAAAGCATTTAATGAAGTTGCCAATATACAAGTAGTGTGTATTAAGTATGTGTAGATAGTAAGAGTTCCTGGTACACTTTTTACCAGAGTGTGAATTCATGTCAGTTTGTTTTACTGATAGATATCTGAAAACCACTCGAACTGAGAGGAGTAGTTTTGGGTTTTTGTCGCTGTTGGATAGTTTGAGTTTGTTTTTTTTTTAAATCAGGTATCTATCAGGTCTAGTACTTACTGTTTTTCTTCGTTCTTTTTATACAGGAGTGTGATTTGTTTTGTTCTTGTAATCTTTCATTCTGATTCTGCTGGCTGTTTGCTTCCCAGAAAATTATGCAACTATAAATGAAAGTCACTTGGGAAACTGTATCATCTCTATTGATTGTCAAACACACCTGGGGAACATGCATTTATCTGACTTGTAATTACTACTGGATCAAAACTAAATGGTCATTGTTTTTTCACTTGATTGTATTGAAAAAGTCATAGAAGTATCCTTATTTTCTGACAGTACTAATACAGTCATGATCACTTTTTTGTTGATTCATTCTTCTGAGGAATGACTGACTACAAAAAGTTGAGGAAGAATTTAAAATTATTTAATGGAACATTAAATAGAAAAAACTGCGTAATCGAACATCTCCAAATGGTGATGTTTGCCTTATGAAGGGACTAAGTATCCTCAAGCTTGTTTGCCTGTTCAACTTTACCATCTGGTTTTATAAAAACATTACATTTCCTTATGGGTAGTGATTTTGTCTTAATTTTAGAGACCTCTAACAACAGTAATACTACTAAAATGCTTATTTTGTTTCCAGTTTTGGTTTAGTTGAACAATCCAAAATGGAAGAAATGCAGCTGAACTTAAGCTCTTTACTTCACTGCAGTCCTTTTGCTATATGTTGAATTAATTTTGGAGTTTTACATTAATAATAATCTTAAATTTGATGTTAAGAAGAATATATTTAGGAATAGAAGAAGACTGGAAGACTATCTTAAGTAATATTTAAAATATGTACCCTTATTTGTATGTAAATTCAGGTATTTTAATTATTAAGAGATGTTAATTGGATAATTGCTTGGATAATACCCATCAAATCTAATAAAGATTGGAATAAGTTGTTTAAAATTTGTATAGAAAAACTATACTTAGTAAATGATTAATTTATTAGAAGAGAGTGATTAACTTTCTATTTAGGTGATATGTAAATGAAAATTAGAATGGCATTTTTGTTTAGATGAGATGTTAAAATCAATTATATATACAAATTAGTTATTGGAACTGTTTTTGAAGTTGTATCCTGGGATCAAAAAAGGCAACCGAACTTCATATAAAGAAAAGTTTGCATTGATGTTGAAGCAGAGAGAGAAAAATAGATTAACTGAATTGATTATATAACATTAAATAAGCTAGGCCGATTGTTCTCTGATTTTTTTTTTAAAAATGTAAAACCTGCGTTTAAGAGTTAATTTTTTTATGACATGGGAACAGCTGCAACTTCAGTAAGGATGCTGACTTTCAATTTCAGTGCCAGTTGAACATTTTAAATATTATAAAAGCATAAGTCTCATCTATGCTATAAAGTGTGAGTACCAACCATTTATTATCAACTCAGAGGACAGGCTGGAAAAAAAAAATTCTTTTGTGGTGTTAGTGGTATTTAAACTCGGAAAAAGAAAAGTGGGTGAAACTTTCTACCAACTGGAAGTTTTAAAGTTGAGTTAAGTAGAATATTACCACTTTTAGAAACATCACCCCACAATTATGTGGTGCAAATTTTAGTTAATAACTCTTTAGTGAAACAACAAAACAAGTGACTGGAACTGACCAAAAAATTCCCTTTCTGGTGTGTGTTCTGGAAAAGTGGGAGGGCTGGTTTTTTGCTGGTTTCTAGTGAATGCAAAACTTCCTTCAACTGATAAGAACTGAGTTATCAGTAATTTCATTGTTAATGCAAGAGGATAAGTTTCACTGAGTAGTTGTAGAAACTTGCAGATTCTTTGACCTTTTTTTGTTGTATAACTAGGATTAGGTATCCTGAACAGTCCTTGCTGGGAGGTAGACAAAGTGGGAAGAATTGTAGAGTTTTATTGCATCTGCATTGGTTTAGAGTCAGTCATTTTAATTGAATTTATTTGTCACTTGTTTTGCCTCACTGTAAATTCTAGAGCTGCTGAAGAATTAATCTTTCTAGAACATTTTTAGGAAAAAAAAAAGGCAACTTTTATAGGTAAGAGGCTGAGTAAGTTTTCTTAGTAAGTTGACAAATTTGCATTATAGGAATGTCAGCTTTTTTCCTTAGGAAGTGAGGCAAATTTAATTGTGCTTTTTGCATTTGTCCAGTAACCTTTGATCCTAGTTTTAATACAGGTCTTGAGAATTGAATGCTGATAATAAAGAATAAAGAACTGAATAAACAACTTGATTAGGTAGAGAATTCAGACAAGGACCTTCATGAAAGCACAGAAGGGGAAAAAAATGACATGCAGTCCAGTGCTCACAATTAGATGCAAGAGAAATATCCCATTTTCTTGCTTCTTTAACTGTTCATGGTGGAAGCTAATGCTTACCGTTATAACACATTCAAATAGGTGCATGTTTCTTGTATGCCTTAGATACTAATTTTGTAGAACTATAAACAATTTGACCTTTTTCTAAGTGAATATAATCTTTGCACCTTACCTATTTTCAGAAGATTCCTCTAAGTTCAGTATGTTTATCAGCCATTGAACATGTGTATTTAGAAACATATATATAAAAGAGAAACCAGGGCAGGGTGGGGAAGGATGAAATAAAATAGCATTTATGGTAATCTTCTATTAATACATATAGAACATAATGTATATAAAAATGCTTTGAATTCTAAGGAAACAACCCATTCAAAACAGCTCATATGAAATTGCTAAGATACTTTTAAAATACTATGCAAATCAGCAAATTAAATTAAAACTTAGTGCTGTTTTGGTTGTCAGACTGCCTTGCAAAGCAAATAAATGAACAGTGTTTCACGACACGTCGCAACATTAAAAAAAAGAAAAAAGGTACAAATTGGCTCAAGTGTTCTATAGGATTGTTCTTCACAAATGTTTAAGTTACACTGTTCTGTTGGCTTATGTGTGTTTTGTTGCGCTCTGTTTTCAGGATCTAAAGCTTTTAACAACTTTCTTTTTGCGATTTTGAGTAAAAACAGTAAATGGAGATTGTTTTACAAAAGTTAAAGCAAATTATATGATTAATTTTAATTTCCATCTACTGCAGCTCAGTGAAGGTAGATTCTTTCAAGGCAGATGCTTTCAGTATGATATTTCTGAAATACAGAATGGTTAGAAGAATAATGTATCAAGACTGTGCATGAAGTTGGCTTATAGAGGCTTACAGAGAAATTTGTGACAAGGGATGTATAAAAAAAGATTGCAAGTTATGCTGAAACGCTTATTTTCTGATCCTTTCCTTTTGCTCATTCCAGTCTGATCATATGAATTGTTTTGAGACCATCTGGACTGCCTTTATATTTATGTTCAGTTCAGTATGAATTCATCATTATTCAGGCCACCCAAGTCTTTACTGTGAAAGTTATTGCTGCCGCTTCTGGTAGCTGTCTGGTAGATAACACTAGGAGAAAAATCATAGTTCCTCAAAGAGCCATGGTAAAACTTTGGGCAACAGAGACATAGGCACATAAAAATATTTTTGTTATGATTTTCAAGATCTGTGATCTGTTGCATAACAAAGCTTTTCTTCCAGGGAGACAAAGAGCTTCAGGAACACCATTGATAGTGAATATTTTGGGAGACAAGTCTTTCTGTATTCTGATAATTAAAATTAGGAGTTAGATTTGGAAGATAATCATTCTTTCGTTTAAATGAAAATTTTTAGTGGATTAAAAATTTGCAGTTCATATTTTTCTCTTCAATTTAAATATCTCTGGTGAATTATAGGCTGCTGCTAAGTAGGAACAATACTACTGATCACTTGTGCAAAATACGTAAGTCATGGACATATTTTGGTAGATAGTCTAATGAAATTCGTCTTGGGGATTTAAACTAATGAATCACTGAAAAATATCTACAATAGTATCTCTGTCACTTACCATGTTACAATGCTGTGACTTATAACCTCCCAGCCTTTTATCAGATCAGAAAGGAATTAGTCCTGTACTACCTTTTGCAAAGTGCCTGAAACAGAGGTGATAGTTTCTTGGGCAGTAGTTTTACAAAATTTGTTTAAAAGGACAAAAAGACAAGAGGTTGAAAAGCAGGCAGTATGTTGCTTACTAAGTATGATGTCATGGGATCAGAACTGAAAGAGTATACCAGAAGTATGTCCTTATTTTAGTATCTCTAGGTATATTGGTTTTTATATAAGACTTCTTGTTATGACTTTCAGCCAAAACCTCTTTATCCACCTCCTGAATCTGATTATTCTTTGGAATAGATAGACTGGAGCTTTTTGATGGTGTGAACTTGAGAAGTCTTAGGATCGAATATATACCATAGTGTATCTTTAGAGTACCTTTGAGCTTATTTGGTAATTATTAATAGTAGTAGGATTCATTTTATTTATTTTATATCTTGCACTAAGTGTAGATAATGACTGAACAAAAACCAGTTTGATTTTCATGTTAATTAAAAACACTTTGTTAGATGTAACACTGATGTCATCTGTAAATATAACAATTAACAGCTCACATGAATACAATGGCAGAAAATATTTCATGAAAAATAGTGCTAATGTGACCTGGCTTTTATATGAATATCTGACTAGTGAACCTTGACTCCTGTGTCTCAAACTCCCTTAGATATTCCCATGTCTTTCCACAAAGGTCCCTAAGAATTGATTGTGTCTCTCTCCTCCTGTTCTCCCAGTGACCAAGAGCAAGTTGAGAGCTATGAATCAGCTCAGTAAGAGAATCTAAAAATGGGAAGTATAATTCTTTAGCTTAATCAGACTGAAGTGTAGCTGTTTGCGTTTGTGCTGTTGTCAGCACACACACTTGAGAGATTGTTGTACCATTTCTGAAGGAAGCAAAACTGAGAAGCTTAATTTTAGGAAATTGGTAAATACCAGAGTTCAAGGGTAACTTCACTGGAGATGTGATAAAATGTTTACCTCGTGTACCTTCAGGCTGATCTTCTGTTCTTGTTAACTGGTATAAGTGACTTACATTTCCTTTGCAAGGAGGAAGGATTTTGGAAGTGTGCGTTTATTGCCAGTGAGTTTGGAATTGACAAGTTAAATGGTTTGGTAGCACTCTTATTTTCAATATGTTCCATCACTGAACTTTTTCAGGCAAAGTGTATGGTTTGGGGAAACATACCTGTGGAGAGGTACGGATTCCTGGAAATACAAGATAGGCAATGAAAACATCTAGAAACTGTAGTCTGGCTGCACAGCATTGTTTTTTAATGTAAGCTGTTTTGCATAAATAGGCTTTTGGTTTTTTATGTTGTGATTTAATGTTTCTTATTTTGTAGATGAGTTCAGTGAAAATGTTGCGGTCACGTCTCGATGGGATCCTTTTCAAGCTTATGTTTGAAGAGCACGTAAACAATATCAAACCTGACATTATGGCGGTTACACTGGCTTGTGAAGAGCTGAAGAAGAGTGAAAGCTTTAGTAAGCTTTTAGAGTTAGTGCTATTCCTTGGAAACTACATGAACTCTGGCTCCAGAAACGCACAGTCACTTGGTTTTAACATCAGTTTTCTTTGCAAGGTAAGATGAACCTATAAAACTTTTAAGTGCAGATTCATGAAATTCATGACACATGAGAAAGTACCCTAAACAGGTAGAAACATTCAGTCAATGTAGTTTACTGACTACACATCTGTTTTTAATAACAGATAGACAAATGCAGAGTAAGCATTTCTAGGATGGTCCTCTGCTATAGCTCTCTTAGTGCAATGGTGATTTAAAGCAGTTTAATTATAAGTCTGTTCTGAGTCTTTCTGAAGTATTGAAGTAGAACAGCTTTTTCAATCTGAGTTTGTTCAACTATCGTCTTGTCAATAGAATATACATAGAACTCTGAATATGTTAAATAGCTGTAGCTACTCGTCTTTCTTCCTGTCTTCTACCTAGCTATCCCTCAAGCAATGTCACAGAAATAGGTATTTGGGAATAAAGATGAACATTGTGAAGTTTAATTTCGATTCTGGTGGAAAATATGGGATGCAACGAGAACTTCAGAATCTATAGCAGTCAGAATTTCATGTGCAGTGCCTATTTGTTTATATGGTAAAATGTGTGTAAGGCATTAATCAGAACTTGAGCATCTTGGTTTGTAAAGTGTCTTTGAAAGTATCTTTAAAAGAAAAGGTTGCAAGATTTGTAAACAGATTGAAAAAAAAAAAGCATTAATCTTGAGGAGGAATTTTTCAGTTATTTTTTGTTTGGTCTAACCAGAGGATTCACGTTTCCAGTCCCTCAAGGAGATTTAACCTTGGGGGAAAATAATATTTCAAATACACAAGTGTAATATGACATATTTCAGTAGAGAAAGACTGCTTGCTGTAGTTTGATGTGAAGAGGTTGCTAGCTTCTGGTAAAATAAAAACAGTCACCAGAGAAAAACTTTCATTAATAGCTTTTTTTAAAGAGAGGCCAAGTTGAAGGATTTTTTTTTTTATAGATCTAGTGCTGTATTTTCTTTTCAGTAGTAGTAGAATCTAAAGGGAAATTAGTGTTTTAAGTAGAAAACTACTTGTTAATGAGGGAGAGGAGAAATGATGACTGTGTATGAATGATCCTCTAGCATAGCATAGATTTGAGAAGGTATTCTTGCACTCCAGGTGATAGATTTATGAATTGCTGTCAATGCAAATCCCACAGATGTTGACACAGCTAATGTAGATTGACTAATCCTGCAAATTGTTATCTACTGAACTGAATAATTGCTGAACTGTAGCTATCTGTGCTTACAGCGAAATTCCATTTAAAATAACTGAGACAAAAATCTATGACTATTTAATTCAGCCTTGCCCTCAGAACCAAAATCTATTTGTTAACTTTTTTTTTGTTTTCAAGATAGATATTTCTGAGGGACGTGTTCTCTTCTCCCCGCCTCCCCATAAGATTTAGTGAAAATACTTAAATATTCTCCATAATAAAATGTTGACTGCGCTGTTACATTTAAGTACTAGGTATATTTTGTTATAAGGTGATGCCTTTAAAAAAAAAATCAAATAGTGATGCTTATTGGACAGAGAAAGAAGGTCTTGCCAAAATCTAGACATGAAATTGTATCATTAATAGCTCTACATATTGACTAAACCTTGTGAATTATCACTCATAACTTCCAAAGTAAGAACAAGTCACTTAAGTTTTTAGAAATGTAGTTTCCATTAGATCAGTTTCTCTGGACAGAGTGACATATGCATTATCTGCAATTTAAATTGATTGGTTTTTACTCAAGTTAAAAGATATTTCCTGCTATTTAAAGCTGTGATTTTAATTGCTTTATGTATTTGCCATTCTAAGTTGAATTAGTCTAGTAATGTGCTCTTGAAAGAGTTATTTTTTCTCAAATGGTTTTGTACCTCTACTTATACTTTAGTATCATATTTAGAGAAGTAACCTTCTACTCCTTTGATATTTAATTTTTATAAATAAGAGGTGTTTACACAGTTAGTATTCACGAAGGATTTTTTTAAATTATGGTTAAGTATCCAAATTTGTATTTGGGTAATGACTCTTTTTATGCATTGATTATTTTCAACTGATAATTTGGTTCCTTTGTTTAATAACTTTCAAATTCTGCTCACCCATTTTCCACCCAAAGTAGTAAGATAGTTTTATCAGTTTTGTGTTATTAACTAAGACTACAGCCTGACAGGCCTTTTTAAACTGTTGTGAATAGTGCAAAATAGTAAACTCTATCAGGTGGTGATATCTTTTCTAAGCACCAGGTTTAATATCTGTCTACAGCTGCTTACTGACTTTATTACATTATTCAAACAGTCTCAAAATTTACAATTGTTGGACAATAAATAGCCTTCACTGTGAAAATGAAAACTTCTGTATTTGTAAGCATGGTAGGGTGAGTGTATTGTCTTGTTTATTGAAATCTTGCTGTGAATTAAAATTTTAATTTATATTTCTTGGGTGAAGAAGGCAATGAGAGAAGAGAAATAAGTGACATCTAACAGCAAGAACAAGGTAGCAGTCTGTTTACCAGTGTCATGTGGCTTACATGTTTTTGCTCTGTGGGGCATCTGGATGCTACTAAATTTTGAAGGCTATGTGAACACTGAAAGTATTTGGGTTTGGTTTGGGGTTTTTTTTTGTGTGTCTGTGTTGGCAATTTCAGAAGGCACTGTTACTGTGTTAGAGGTCTTCCTTGAATAATTTTCAAGTGTCTTCATTTCTTCTTCAACTTCAGTCTTCAAGCTTGTCTAGAGAAATTTGGGAGCCTTTATTTTGCATTTTGATAGAATACCTGTGAAGCATAAAAAATACTAACTTATTTTAATATTCTGTGAAATATTTTGTGCCCTGTCTGTTTTTATGTATAGAACCATGATGAGCAATAGGATGTTACAATTTAGAAGTCACTGTTCCATAACCTCAGGTACATTGTTAGAGTAGAAGTCAAATATATTGTGCCAATGAAACTTTGTCCTTATGTTTGTTTTGCTTGCTGTGAGATCTGCTACTTTCCCCCCCTGCCACCTCCCCCAAGCAACTTCAGAAAGAGCAGAGGGATTTCTTACCAGTTTTAAACATTACGTAAAGTAGGAACTGCTTCAATAGGAGTTTTAAAATCAAACCAGACCATCTGACTTAATGTTTTAAAGTGTTGGTCATTTCTTTGTCTAATTTTTTTACTTTTTTTGGTGACTGTTCCTGTAAGATACTTGATGGGACAAAGTAAGATATAAGTTAAACAACAGTATTATCCTCTGAATATTGTTGTTCTGGAAGGACTTCAGCTGTTAAGTGAACAGATTTTATAATAAATCTAGCTAACTGTGACTGATGTTAGTTTTTAGCCGTTCTTTGCTATAAACTGATGTTTTGCCCAAAGACAAAGACTTAACTCTCAGAAAAAATAGCTGGAAAACATATTAGGATAAGGGGAGTCACTGCAGTGGATAATTCCATCAATGGTTTTTAAAGGTCGGTGTTTGTAAGTTTTTATTTTGTGGTTTGTTTAGGTGGTTGGTTTTTTTCTTTTTTTCAGACCAGTGTTTTATACTGTCTTTAGTGTTAATTGACTTTCTGCCCATAATAAGAAAGCTTTTAATTATTTTTTTTTTAGCCAGCTGTCAACAAGGTAGAACATATGTCTGTGTACACATTTCTATGTGCTGAAGGCACATGGAGTTGTTTTAATGATGAGATAGCATGATGTGTGATGATTCCACTTTTCTATAAAACCTGAATTTCTATTGATTTTTCTTTTTGTCATCCTTGAACAATCTTAAATTTAATTGCCTGTTTAGTAGATGTATTACCTATGTTATATGATCTGGAAAAAAAAAGAAAAAAGGCAGATAATGATCTGGGATAAATGTTTGGGTTTGTAAAATAAAGGTTCTTAAAACAGAGCTGGTCATTTCATAGATAGAAATCTGTTATTGTGTAACAACTTCTATTAAAACATAATTAAGAAAATAAAGAAAAGAAAGTATGAATTCAAACCTGTCTGGTCATAGTTAAAAAGCTGATGCATGTATAGTAATTGCAAATCCTTAAAAAAAGATGATTTTTCTGGATGTTATATTGCAGTTTATGATGTTATTGAAGAAAGAAATTATTTGTAAACAACCTCTGGCAGAAGGCAGAGAACTTAATTTTGTTCAGTTAAGAGGGATCAACGGTAGAATTCATGTGCTGTATCAGGACTGACAAGCAGTAGCAGCTATTCCGATATATGCGCTAGAGCATTCATGGTTGCCTAAGTGTTAAGTGCTCTGTGAAAATATAAATATGGCAGAGAAAAGTGGTAAAGTTCAGGGAGGCTGCTGTAGTAATTTACTAAAGGTAAATCTTTTTACCTGTTGCTGCGTTTGATTAATATGTACAAATGATCCAACTGCTATTCTGAACCTCTATTGCAGCAGTTACTGTCCTTATCAAGGACAGGAGAACCCTCAGTTCTGTACAGTTATACTAGACAGAAATTTAATTGAAAGAAAAGAGGTTTGATTTAGGCATATGTAGGGTGCAACTTCTGTTCTTTTTATGGTGAATTAATGTAAAGACTAACAGCAAGCATCCCTCTGTCTTAATGAAACTTTTGTAGTATTCTAGCTGGATCAATGTGTATTTTATGTAATAAGTAATATTATATTACTTGTTCATCGTGCAAATAGTACAAGACAAGCTGTTTATCTAGTTTGAATATTACTGACTAGTGTATGTTTATTAAATGTCTACCAGCCCTTTTTCTGTTAAGGTAGAAAAGATTTCTAGGATATGAAAAGTTATATAATCTCATGAAAGTCAATAGAAAACTTTTTTTATAGCTATAATAATCAAATGTGATTCTAGTGGTAGTTAAAACGTACATAGTTTTTTTTCCTTATGTTGGCTGTCACTTTTAACTCTCACACCTGAGAACTTAATCCAAAAGTACCTGTTAAAAAAAATAATTCTGGAGATGGGTTATGGTAAGATTTGCATGTTTTAAATGCTATACCAAGATAGTACATGTAAAGGGTTTTTTTTGTTATATTTATGTTAGTTCTGAGCTACAGTCCTAAACATCATACTCTGTATATTACTTGATTTGAATTTGTGCTCTGTGAGTATTATGCTCTGTGTATATTAGTCTTTAATCCTTTCCCAAGCAATGAATCTGATAGTGTAGACCTTTCAAATTGATGCTTCAACATTCAGCTGGAAGCTGTTTTCTGTAGCCTACACTGATCTACTCTTTTTTTTTTCTTCCTCACTGAATGTGTTATTCCCAAATTCTGTCTTTCAGATAAAGAAAGGCCATAGAATCAAAACCTGTATTTGAAAATTTTAACACCACAGTGTGTCTTCTTTAGAAAGAAATAAATTTGGAAAATAATAAATTAGTGACACGCATTGTTAATGTTTTGCAAATGCCGTCTGTCCAGACCCTGCTCTGTTAAAACTTCTACGTTCCAGTGTGTTGACACTACTAAAGATGTAGATTGAGAGTAGCCCTGAGAAGGACTTGGGGGTATTGGTTGATGAGAAGCTCAACATGACCTGGCAGTGTGCACTTGCACATTGGAACTAGATGATCTTTAAGGTCCCTTTCAAACCATTCTATGATTCTATGAAGTAAAGCAGTTATTTGTATTCGATATGGTGAATTCTGTTACTGTTAGTGAGTTTTGTTGTTTTACCAAGTCTCAGGGAACTATTATGACTTCTCTAATGGTGTAATGCTTTGAGAATTAAAAGGATGAAAATATAGAGGGCATAATGCAAAAAAATTTGAAAGGCAGGGATTTTAAGATTGACAAGCTTGTGTTCCAGTACATCTGTTTATTAAATGGGAAGCAAAATCCTTTTTTTTTTTTAACCTATTTTATTTGGTTTTGGTTTTTGTTTAGCATACCTAGGTCACTAGCAAGGAAATTCTGGCTACTTCTAAAGATGTAACTCTTTGCGCAGTCCACCTTTTCTTTTGCTCTGGCTTATGTCCATATGTACCTAGAGTCGTGAAGCTGGAACACTGAAGACTGTGAAATGGGTGTCATTTTTCCCTTTTTACTCCCATAGGAACCCATAGTATCACTTGGAATTTAGAACCCATAGAATATTTCATTGAAGTATGTGTTTCTGATTGAATTGTCTGTTAAGATGTATTTAAAAGCCACCATATTTAAAAAAAAAGTAATTCTAATCACTATTTACTGTAAATTTTAGCTTCAGTTATCATCTGTGAAAGTAACGAATAAAAGTGCAAGGAATGAAAAGGGGTTTTGTTCTTAGTCTGCGAACCCAAATAAGACATTTCTTTAGTTGAGCAAACATTGACTAAATGTCAGCTACCTGATTTTTTTTTTTTTAAAATAGTATTCTTTTGATAAGAAACTAGATGTTTAGTCTTGATTTTCTGTTTATTAACCTTTTAATGTAACAGAGGCCCAAGGTGTATTTTGTTTGTAAATCTAGCATCTTAAACCTGCCCTTTGGCAGAACTCTTCCTTATAAAAGGACAGTTTAGTGTTATGCTGAAGGAAAATATTAGTGTTGTGAAGTTGATTTTGTATTTAATGTGGTACTGTTGTGATGTGCTGCATGCAAAGTCCTGCACTTGGGACAGGCTTAAACTGCTGCAAAGACAGTGTCTTGAGAGCGGGAAACAGCTCTGCAGAAAACCTGGAGTCTGTCCTAATGGAAAACCGTGAGTCAGTAGTGTACCCTGGCAGCATTAACAGCTGGGCTTTATTGATGGTCAGGAGATCACAGGTAGTCACATTTTTTGCTCTTAACTCAGAATTTGCTGGGTTGCATATGGAACATGGTGTTCAATATCCTGTACAAAAATACCTCTTGTTGATAAACTTGAGTGGAGGACCACTAAGCTGGTCAGGGGCAGGAGCACTGAGGAAAGGCTGATGCAACTGGGCTTGTCCAGCCCAGAGAAACAAAGGTTTTGAGGGGGACCTGTAGCAACCTTGCAATACCAAGGAAATTACTGTAAAGGTAGAACCAGGCTGTTCAGCAAAGTGTACAGCAAGAGAATGAGAGACAGGGGTCATAAATTGAAACTAGGGGCACTTTAACTGGATACGAGAAGAACAAGTTTTGCTTCTGAAAAGATGACTTTTTAATTCAAAATCCCAAGAATTATCTTTTCTATAAAGTAAAAAATGTTAAATTCTACTTAAAAATCAAGAGAGGAGGTGAAAAATGTGCCCTGAATACAAATATCATCTGTGAATACAGAGAATGTAAAGACACAGCCATGCTGTTGTTAGCATTCCAGTTCCTATCTTTCATTTCTATTTTTATATTTAAATAGTGTCTGCTCAACTACATTCAAAACCTTCCTTATCGAAATCTTCCTTATCTTCTCATTATATTAGTAGGCTTAGAACTTGATCTTTTTTTTTTAGGTGTATCTATATTATTCTAAAGATCAAACGGCTACATGTCATCCATTGTGTCTCTTAGCTGTAGAAAATACAGCTGAGATGTGTTTCTTGATTGGGCCAAAGAGGTGAATTTGACACACTTGTTTAAGATCTGAACGAATGTTTACTACAGGTTTTAAACAACTCAGCAGGTACTAATGCGAACTGTTGTTAATATGATGTTACTGTTGGTGACAAAGCATGTTTTTGTTGTAATCTGAAGGCAAAATAATTTTGTCCATTTAGAAAAAAAATGATTTATCCACTTGATGATGTCAGAGAGATCAAAGACTGCAAATCCCGCAGTTCTTATTCACAGACAAATTGAAATGCAATTTTTTTTTTACCATGCAGATGTCTAGCCACTAAATCGATTTTTTTCAAGTTGGAAAAACTTCTATGTATGTAACACATTAAAACCTTTTAACTGCATACCATTGCTGAACGTTGTTTAGTCTTTAATCTCTGAATCGGTATGAATTAAATTGCATTCTTAATTGCCTAAATACCTTATATTTTTAAAAGCCTGTTTTTTGACTGCACTCATTTATTCTTAACAGGGTAATCCTTAAAGCTGAAAGGCTTCTATTAAATTGAACATAGATGGCAAGCCTGTCATGAGGATTATAGAATTAGAACTTGTGGTGATTTAGAGAATGAGAAAACAAATAGGAGATTTTACACACACATTTATGTATTCTTCTTAAATAAATCCTTGATTTCATTTGTTGTGTATGTTGTAGCTTATTTCTGTATAAGACCTGCACTAGATGAGTTAGTAAAATGCGGTTGTAAAAAAACCTTACAGATATACTTGTAATACTAATTCTCTATAAAAAGTGAATTACACTCAGCTCAAACTCTTGCATACACCTACTCTCTCTATTGCCTTTGTAACTAAGGGGTAATCTCTGTTTCCATTAAATCTTCAATCAACTCATACATTCATTCTTTATATCTGCATAAAAATGGAGGAACTAAATTTGGACTTAAATTCATCTTCTCATTCTCCTAAGTTCATGATATTCCTTTGCATATACACATACACTTTGCCATGGGATTTAGGCACAAGTATCTATGTTTACTTGGAAATTTGCTACTAGCCCTGTATTTTAACAATTATTTCAGAATTATTTTTTGAAAATAACAAACTGATTCTAGCAGTTATTGCACTTAGGTTAATGGAGAACAGAAGGTCTTATCACCTTCAAGAACACTGATGTATTTCAGACCACTAAAAATTGCCTCTGCAGTTGAGAGGATAGTGAAAGTATGCAATTACCTATTTCTTCACCCTGTGCACAATTTTCGTGCAGCTTTTCATAAATAAGACTGGACATATTAAATTTCCTTTACTATCAGTCAGGATTACCTTTGATTTTCTGTTGTTATTTTGTATTCCAGTAAAGTGGGGTGCGTTTATTTCATGTTTCTGTATAGAATTTGTCTGAAAGTCTTTAGGATAAAGCAGCATGTTTTAGATTTTGCTTCAATAAAAAATTATGGATTTATGACAAGGAGTTTCTTCAACTTGACCAGTAAAAGAACAAATTCTGACTTTTAGCACACTGTCCAGCTATGCGACATTTCAGAGGCATTCCTTTAGAAATCTGGCAGTGGGAGGCATTGAAGGAATGAACTGAAATCTGTTCTGTTTAATCTCTGTTCACAGATTTATTTTTTTATCACAGCGAGCATTCTGAACTGACATTGCTAAAATCTCAGAACTTTATGGACTGTATTCAGGTTTTGGTCTCAGCATAATTAATTAATCTTTAACAAAATACAGCATAAGGATAGATTTCCTTTGTAGTCTTAAATTATGAAGAATTGGAGAAATTTATTTTAAATAATTTGTTTCATTTGCAGGCAACCAGTGTAGGTAGTTTTTTGCTAATGAGTTTACATCACCAATATTCACTTGATTTAAACATTTTACTAAAAAAAGTGCTTGCTTTTTTTTTTGCTTTTTTTCCTCCTGTGTTCACTTTTTAGATTCGAGATACTAAATCATCAGATCAGAAAACAACCCTATTGCATTTTCTGGCAGAAATCTGTGAGGAGAATTACCGGGACATCTTAAAATTTCCAGATGAATTGCAGCATGTTGAGAGTGCAAGTAAAGGTAAGCAAATAGATGAAACACCTAAGGATAACAGCTGTTTGCTTTGACTTTAAATACTTCCAACATTTCATTTTAGATTGTAGGATTATGTAACCTGTAAGCATTGATAATCCGTGTGAATTTTGCTTTTCTGGTATTCATTGACCTAAGAAAATGTGACGAGGGGAAAAACAGTAATAAAGTAACTTTTCTTCTGAAGTATGTTTTGGAAATGGTACAGCATATTTCAGTGAAGTGCTCACAAAATCCCATATTGGAAGTTGTGTAAGCAGTGTAATGAAGGTGTTTAGTTTACCGTTAAACCTTTGAAGTCTCATTGCTTGAGAGTGAAATTGTGTGTCTGTGTGCATGTGCATACACACACAGTACGTTTCTCAATTTAACACTTAACACCTGAGTAGAGAATAACAAATATGCTTTCTAAAGATCCCAGACTGTATATGAAATATATAGTTTAATTGTAGTGTACAGCCAGTGATTAATACTGATTTTATTCTTGGTCGGTCAGCAATATAGCCCGATGAATGTGACAGAAAACCTAATTCATTTGTTGGATGTCTTTTTGTGTGAAATACACTGTGCTGCTTGGCTTACTTTTGGTGCTTAGCTATCGAAAGCAAAGGCTATGTAATAGTGGTTGATGAAGATAATGCAAACTATTTTATTTTGGCTGGGCATTACTGCTTCATCAGAAGATAAATACTTGAGGGAGCACAAGAATATGAA